CTCCCGCCGCTGTTGCCTTGCCTCAATAAACCTCTACGATTGTTCATTCCCAGTCATTGGGAGCCATTCCCATTCTTTCTTTTTGTATTAGGGCTAGCCGACATTGGTCTCGATTTTCTTTTTATTCCACGTTTCTTCCTTTGCACATATTGCGGCCTCTCACCATTACAACTCTTGGTACCGACTGATTTCAATCTCCGTTATGTATACGACGAACAACAAAAGTTTCACGAAGTCTTGGTTTTCCTTACTGCTTGGGTCCTAAACACTGCTCAGGGACTTATGGATGGCGTCTATTGATCACCTCGGGTATCTTTCTCATTTACACAAATCAGGTGCGGCAAGAAAAGAAGGAGACGAGGCCCAGGCGAGGCGACGGGTTGATCGAGCGCAGAACAGACAAATGGTGGACCGCATGGGAACAGGCTTTAAGAAGGGGTGGCTGGAATTATTGTGAATGGGTGTGTATTTGCTGAAGATGTGTGAGTGGTGAAAAGACTTACCTGGCGCTGTGGCAACCTACTCATCTTTTCGTACTACATCCTTCTCATATACGTCGATTGGGAAGCGAAACAAAAATACAAAAACGAAGAAACACCACTGAAAGTAATTTTCTCAAGGGCGTACTCTGATGTTGGGTTTGGTTTGCGTTGTGTGGTGGGTGCTCGATCAGTACCACGCCTGCTGGATACTACAATGTACAGTACATCCAGTACTGTTGTTACCTCGCACCCACTCCATGGCTTCGCCCACCCCTTCTACGATCTGACACCATAATCTCTATTCATCGTCGGCATATAGTCTAGACAAGAATCATGCCAGGCTCTGACACAAGTGACGAGTTCGATAACGATGTAGATCCCCTGCTCATCCTCTCATTTCGCTTGATCTTTTGGAAATCCTGTCTGCCAAAAGCTGAACTACTTTTTTTCCATGACAGGCCTTCATCGTCGATATTGATTCAATCCAATCTCACGGTATTCCTTCGGCATCTCTTTGACTGCTTTCCTCATTCTTTCCCTACTTCAATTAGCTCATTAGCAAATAGGGATTGGAGTTGCAGATATCAACAAGCTCAAGGCGAATGGTTACTTCACAGTTGCAGTATGCCATCGTGTCCAACCGCTCCTTCTTCTGACCACCTGCTCACCTGTTGACTTTCTCTGCAGTCCGTTCATAGCGCCACGCGGAGAACGTTGCTAAAGATTCGCGGCTTCAGTGAAGTCAAGGTCGAGAAGATCAAGGATGCTATTCAGAAATGCCTGGTGGGTGCTTGAATTCCCCGATCTGTCCTCCGAGGAGTGAATCTCATAGCCCGGAATCAGCCCTCGGCCTCTGGTTTCATGACAGCGATGGAGCTGAGCCACCAGCGCAAAAAGGTTGTACGCATCTCAACAGGGAGCAAACAGTTCGACTCCATCTTAGGAGGGTGAGGTTCTGTTACCTTACAACATGCACCAGTGAAGTATCCTAATCGTCATGGTCCTCGCAGGGGCTTTCAAAGCATGAGCATCAGCGAGGTGTATGGTGAGTTCCGCTGCGGCAAGACCCAACTCTCGCATACCATGTCCGTGATTGCCCAGCTCCCAAAGGAAATGGGTGGGGCCGATGGCAAAGTGGCATATATCGATACAGAAGGCACTTTCAGACCCGAGCGCATTGCTCAGATCGCCGAACGCTTTGGGGTTGACCCAGACTCCACGCAGGAGAACATCGCTTACGCTCGAGCCCTTAACAGCGAGCATCAGCTAGAGCTACTGAATACCCTGAGTCGCGAGTTTGCCTCCGGGGAGTATCGGCTGCTGATAATTGACAGCATCATGAACTGCTTCCGCGTCGACTACTGTGGACGTGGGGAACTTGCAGAGCGTCAGCAGAAATTGAATCAATTCCTGATGAGACTTGCCCATATGGCTGAAGGTATGGTGCTACATATATGCAACCCTTACATGAGATACGTCGCAAGACTAACTATATCTGAACGTGCAGAGTTCAACGTCTGCGTCCTGATGGTTTGTTGTCGTTCTTCTAACCCTTTACTATATGTACGGACCCATTCTCATCGAGGTGCAGACAAATCAGGTTCAAAGTGACCCTGGCGCCAGCGCTCTTTTTGCCGGGGCCGATGGCCGTAAGCCGGTTGGTGGGCATGTCCTTGCGCATGCATCTACAACCCGAGTGCTACTTCGAAAGGGGCGTGGCGAGGAACGAGTGGCCAAGATCCAAGACTCACCGGGTCCGCTAAGTTACTCTCATCGAACATGAACTCTGTCTAATTCTTTTCAGATTGTCCTGAGCGTGAGGCAACCTATCTGATTACCAACGGCGGAATCAATGATCCAGACAAGGTGTAGTGGATGGGATATGTATATCCTCAGGGCATAACATGACAGGGTGCATTATGTCGGATGTATCGCGATTGATCACTATCGATAGCTGTAATTCTGCATCATGGCAAGTTTCATTTCCTTCGAGATGATATTTAAATGTACTGTACGAATATGTGCGTATTTCGTGTTTAGTTGTCAATTGACCTGAGCTCTCTTCCTTTCGGACGTTTCTGCTTGTCGGGGTAACTTACCCTTACCCTCTCTCCGCCTTCCAAAATGCCGGTGCAAAATTATCTCCCCGCCCAAATCGAGAAAAAAAAGTTACCCTGATTGAAATTCGCCTTCTTTGGCTGCGCAGCCATCCCAATCTCCTGCTTCTGCTCGCATATTTTGCATCAAACAGTCGTGTGGTTTTTGTTTCAAGTTAGGATCTCGGATTGCTGCTACGATGAAGAAAGACCTTGAGGTGGCGGGTTACGCCGTGCTGCCCCTGCAGTTCCCCAAGACCTCCTCTGCAAAGGCTGCGACGCATTACATGTATCTCCGAGCCCACGAGCCTCGCATTCCGGACGAAGATACCCCTCGCTCGATGTTCATCGTCAACGTGCCCATCGACACGACCGAGACTCACTTGCGCCACCTCTTCGGTACCCAGCTCGCGGCCGGCCGAGTTGAGCGCGTCCACTTCGAATCCGTCCCCACGAAGAAGAATCAGGCCGCGCTTCCGCAGGCAAATGTCGGCGGGGGCGGCAGCAAGGCCAAGAAACGGAAGCGCGTCACCGCCGACGAGCTGGAGTCTCAGCTGGAGGATATCGCACTCCCCGCGGTCTGGGACCGGCCGCTCCAGAAGAGCGGAGCGCACGCCGTCGTGGTTTTTGTGGACCAGCCCAGCATGGAGGCCAGTCTGAAGGCTGCTCGGAAGGCCGCGCGCAAGGCGGTCAGTGGTAGCAAGAAAATTGTTTGGGGGGAAGGGCTTGACGAGGACCGTGTGCCGGCTCTCGGGCTGGAGCGGTATCTCTTCCACTCACAGGCTCGGTACCCCAGCCGCGGAGAACTGCTCCGCACGGTCAATGATTTCATGACGGTGTTCGAGCAGGTGGCCGAGAGCCGGAAGCGCGAGGCGGCGCGCAAGGCCCAGGAGCCGGACGAGGATGGCTTCGTGACGGTCACGAGTGGACCCAAGCTGGCGGACGCGACCCACGAGGATGAGGCGCGGGAGTTGATCGAGAAGCAGAAGAAGAAGCAGGAGGGCCTGGAGGACTTCTACCGCTTCCAGTCCCGAGAGAAGCGGAAGGAGAGGCAACATGAGCTGTTGCGAAAGTTCGATGAAGATAAGAAGAAGCTGGCGGATCTGAAGAGGAGAAAGGGGAAATTCGCGGTGAGTTTGGCCCGAAACGGTTCCTTTGCGTTTGCTCTTCTGGGGCCCTCGTTTGATTTCAAGAAGCTAACGAACGCATTCCCATGTGCCTTCTCTGCAGCCCGAGTGATTGTGTCTCTCGGCCGGGATTTTCTACGAATCAATTATTCCACACATCGTCTTGGTTTAGCGCGGCGTTAGGGAAGGGATTATGCCAAAAGTCGAGTCTTTCAGGTTGATAGAATACTGTGTTTTGAGGCAGAGGTGAATATCTCCAGGGATGTGAGTGCTACGTTTGTGTTTTGTGCCCCAACACCTAACCTATTTGTTTTTCCCGTACTTTGTATGCATATGATGAATCCGCTGGGGCCAGAGTAGCAAGACTCAGCTAGCGGCTTGATGTCCTGCCATGCCTTCAGAAACCAGCATTACTCAATCTTCTCACCTTCCTGAAGCCAGAGTTTGGGACTAGACGTTGTGGAGATTCATGGATCTTTTCTGGAACATGTGCTAATTGACTTCTGGGGTACAGAGAGCGTAACGAAAGTCGGACCAGCACCGGCGATCGCTTGGATCAATCCATACTTTTCCATACGAACAGGCTTATGTCGCGAATCCTGTAGACTTTCGGTGGTTGGAATCTCGAGACCCATTCTAACCGCCAACTGCCTTGCCAAAAGTCTCCAATTTATGGACTTGCATGGTCAGAGGCATCAATGTTGTTTCCTGCAGAATCAAGGGGATATTTTCTGAACAGGCAACAGGTTTAGGACAGGAAGCAGTCACCAGGAAACACTGAGTACTTTTGAGATATGCTGTTTTAAGTAGCAGACTACTTAGAAGACAAATAGAACCGAGCCTTGAAAGAGCTATCTGTCAAGCTACCGTAGGTGGCACCACCTTCCCAGCCGCTACCATTACTCCGTAGTAGTTAGTACTTAACAAACTACTTAATAGCTTAAGTGCGACCATCACCTCGTGAATGCGGATCGCCTCCCATAAAAAGCCCTTCGATAATAAAAATCTCTTCGATAAAATTCCTTTGTTCTTGAGACGTCGCCGCTGGGTTCAAGCCACCGAGAACCCGCTATACCGCATTGAGTAGTTCGACGTCACGCAAGATAACTAATTAGCAGATAGCTCTGCGGTACAACCACCATCTACTTCTGATCTTCTCTGCTTCGTACGAGTAGCTCGCGGCAAAAAGCTAGGACACTTCCTTCAGTTTAATCAAAGAACTCGACAAGAAAAGAATTGTCTACATGGCTGCACTCTCACCAGCGACCATGCCCCGAGGACAAGCCGCCGGCGACATGGGAGGGGGGGGAGGCTTCATCCCACCATCAGCACATCTTCCATCCCCGACACCCACCACATCCACCGCAACCCCATCGCTTCTCCCCAAACCACGAGCCCACCCTTTGCGGCCGGGTTCCGCCAAAGAAGCCACGGTCCTGGAGTATATCGACAAGAAGCTTCTGTCCATCAACCGCCGGCATGCTAAGAAGTTCAGCGGGGCTCTGATTGGTGATAACAACAACAGCAGCAATAGCAACAGCAATGGCAGCAACAGCCAGCGCATAGCACCGGTGGCTGAGTCGGAAAGGGGCTACGAGAGCTTCAAGGAAGTAGCGAAAGACTTTGAGAGTTTGGTGGATGTTTTGTGGGTCAGTGGGACTCGTATGTTTTCCCCTTCCCCTCTCTTTCTTTTTCTTCTGGGTTGCAAACAACAGTGAAGGAAAGGACGTCGTTGTCTCATATTGGCTGGCTGATGGACATGTGTTGGTGCTTTTCTATTTGGCAGCTTCATTACAGATACCCTACCTGATCTCGTTGGCCGTCCAGGTCAACTCTTATCTACCGGATTATTCATTCTCGGCGAAGGCGACGTTCCGGTTGCTGCGGAAGCTGGACTCCGTCTTTGCGTCGCTCCTGCTGGGGGAGGATGTGGACTCCGGGGCGTCGTTGCCGGGGTTTGAGGCACGGACGAACGTAGTCTCGATGACGGAGAAGGTGCGTATTAAGAGTATTGCGGAGACCTGTCGGGTTGTGGTTGTGGAGGCGAGGGAGCAGGAGGATCTTGGCGATGATGATGATGATGATGATGATGATGATGATGATGGTGATGATGGTGGTGGTGAGAGGAATGGGTTTGGGGATAGTAGTGAGAACGATGATGAGGATGAGTTGATGGATGATGCGTTGGGGATGGATGAGTATCCGATTCCCGGTAGGTGGGAGATGGAAACGGCCAAGGTGTACGAGAAGACGATCCAATTGCTTGGGGATGAGTTGGGGCAGGCCGATCCTGGGGAGTTCTGCGATACTGATATGGCTGCTGGGGAGGAAGCCGGCCAATGCGATGGGTTGTTGGATGCGGAGGCAGATTGATTGGAACTTGATGCTTTTCCTAGGGTCCTCAAGACATTTATCTACTCGTTAGTGTTTCTGCTTTGAATGATACCCGGATTGACTTGATTGACCAGACGGATATTGGGATGTGAACAGCTAGCTATGTCTGGATTGTGCTGATTCAATGCAGCAGCAGCACAATAGGAAGACTTGGCCTTGGCGCATGCCTGGTCAGCCTCAGATAATAGCTTGGAGCTAGAATCTGCTGAACGTGTCCTGGCGTGTCATGTCGAACACGTCCCAGATTTTCTAACCCTGACACGACACGTATAGATTGTCGTTGTCGGCTGTCGGGGGTTCCGACTGCGCTGCATATCAGCAGCACCCTAGTAGTCTACTGGTCATGACCTGCCGGTCCCTGGTACTGCTTGTACTACTGGCATTGAGAATTACGAAATCCTCTTAGATCGGTTTCAACCCATGGTTCCTGCAATCCCCATTCCAGAAAACTGCAATGGAGAATTGAGGACAGAGGAGTTCGTGCTGCGAGACAATGAAATGATTTTCTTTTCTCAAGATCACTCACTGTCTGGTGAATGGAAATCCGGCTACGGAAAGCATAGCAGTAAGTCCAGTCCAACTTGAAACACTATATTTTATACTAGATAGATCTGGTCTACTCATAGCCTGGAGCATTGGTGGTAGTCAGTAAATCCGAGTATCTCCCGACGGGGTAATGGGAGTGGTTGGGTTGACTTTGAACTCTCCAGGGAGGGAAGTTATCTGCAAGGGACCGAGTGCTGACCCAGGCATGATCGTGTAACCCTCCCCCCTCCAGAGGGAAGCACGCACAGCTTGGACCGGAGCACAGCTGCAATCCTCGCATGGCAAATCCTCGATCGGGTCAACATGAATGAGGGGCGTTGAGCGTACCAATAAGATCAGCCTTGCGCTTCCTCGTTGATTACCGAGTACTATGTATACAATAAGTACTTATTATGATGAGCGTTGGGTGCATGGCCTGTATGTATGTAGTACTGTACTGTACTGTGCAGAGTAACATAGTACGATGCACCCTTGCTCATGCCACAGAGTGTGTGTGTGGATGGGAGGGAGATAGAGAGGAGGATAACGTTAGATCATGGGCAAGCTGTACTCCGATGTGCCAGAGGAAACTCGCACTCTTGATAGAGTGATCGCGTCGCGTCCGCGTCCGCACTCCGATAGGAAAAGGAATACTCACCGTTCGTCGGTACATCGAAACAGGGAGAGTCAATTCGCATGCTACGTGGAACATTATCTTGGTTTTAGATGTCAAAAGAGGTACGAGTATACATACTTTTGTGGATGAAACACACGGAAGCTAAATACTCAAATAGTTAGATATCTTGAGACACTTCGTGTTGGATGGGTGTTAGGCGCAGTGCAAGGGCAGGTTACGGTAACTTTAGGTAACTTACTAGGCAGTCTACTCTACTAGGTATGCCGTGGACACCTCAGCTCAGGGCTAGGCTTCAGGCTTAACTAGAACTAGATTGATTACATACAGCAGTGGCCAATGAGAGCCTCATGGAGGCAGTTTCCACGGTCCGGGCACTGGATGGTGTGGAGTCTGCCTCATTTTGACTACGGTAATTACTTGCTTAGTATTCTATTTGGAGTAGTGAACAAGTATGAGAATGTACTCCAGGTTGTACATATGAGTATATGCTCAGCAGAGTACATACTATTGATTGATTTATGTCTAGCTATACTGGTCTCTTCGAAGCTACCAGAGCCATTTTCTGGAACCTCAAATGTGGCTCAAGTACAATTAAGTATCATTTATCATCGAATATCCCGATCCTGCTGCATGGACCAACTGACGGCCTCGACTGACCTGTGTCTTTCCAGCGGTACTTAGTCAGATTCTGCACTAATTATTAGTTAGTTAAGTACTCATATTAATACCTCTTCAAGTGATTATGTTTGTATTACATGTACCCTACCACCAAACATTAAGTTTAAACCTAATCAGACGTGCTCATTCAGTAAGGCACTGGCCTGAGTAGCTCGTCCCCTCAGACCTTGTGTTTCTTCTCCATTCTGGGATCTCGACAAGACTATTTGTATCTCGGTGGGCAGCTCCAGAGTCTAGTCTACTAGCCAGCGCCCCCGTGTTAGGCCGCAGGAACCATCCACAACCACATGGTTTTTGTACTTCTCGAATGTGCTTCAGCGGTGACTAACCCTCTCTGAGGGTTTTCGTCATCTGGATTGAGCATTAGCAGCTCTCGAATCCATGGACTGGGGCCGCACTGGTGGGGGCGAGGATTTTTTTCGCCCTTTCATTTGCACCCTCCCACCGGGCAGTCCGGGCGCTTTCGCTTCCACTTTTGTCTCTTCTGTTCTTCTTTGTTTCAACATGATCACGATAGCCATACCATGTGTTCATCTCTTTCCCTTTGTATATGTATAGGGAAGTTATTTCCAATGATTAGTGGGCATCTTTTCCAGCCCCGTCGGCTTCATCCAGCCTTCCGGCTCCCGGGTGTGGACAAGTATGAACTAGTCTAGGGCACAGCTTCAGGGCCGATCCCAAGGAACAAATGGTGGGATTTAGGCTGCAAGCGGAGACCGATCTACGAATGACAGAGTACCTCAGGCATCCGCCAGGCCAAGCGGAGAATGAAATAAAACCCATGACGATAAGGGCCCATGGGACGCGAATGGGACCGGGCGAGTCATAGCGCGTTGCCGAAAAAAAAAATACCAAATAAATCAAGCAAAACGAAAGGAGGAAGGAAAAGACCTCGGGCAGTCTCAGCTTGGGTGGGTTATCCACCGAGTATGCATCATTCAAGTCAGGTCCTTGCAGATTTCCATACAGCTTTGCTCGGCCATTTGCCCTCATTACATGTAATGTCTTCTGGTACTCCGTACTCTCTCTCTCTTGTTCTGATATTATGCCAGAAGAATTACTATGCAAGTGCAATCAGTTATCTGCTTGCCTGCCCCTTGACTCCTTATCCAAGTCCTTCAGGTCTTGTACAGACGGTACGTATGAGTATGCACATATCAAGGAAATCGGACCCAGCCACCGTCTGCTCCCCACCTCTTCTCTATCCCTCTCTCTCTCCTTGCGCCAGGATCATGCTACATACACATCGTGAGCAGATGCTCGAGGAGGACTAAGTCCGTGATGCAACACCACCATTATCTGTGAGAGGTGCCAATCGTCATTAAATACTCGACGGGGTCATCTACTGCCGATGATTCTACACAATCGGGGATCCTCTCAAGAGAACGGGTATGGGCACCTTCAAGCTATCGTTATTTCGTTTCCTCCTTCACTTAGCGACCATAAACCGCCCTGAGTTGTCAATGATATACGGGAAAGCGATTGTATCATCCAGCACACTCTCCCTACCACCTGGGGGACATGAGAACGGGGGACAATAGGGTCGCGTGCGATAGAAATAAGAATCATGTCAAGTTGCAAGCCCGCAGGATGCAGCAGTCATCTGGTTCGAGGGCGATTCGGTTGGGCTGGGTCCGATGGTCGACGTAGGTATGCACCACCACCTCTCAATACCCGTATGTATAGTCCAGGTACGTATGGTCTATCCAAGAGCCTTGATCTCACTAGTCGAGGGCCCGCAAAGACAGCCTGGATTCATCATGACGGAACGGAGGATGTTTTGATTTCTTCGATTGAGAAGCTGCTATGGAAATGATCATAGCGAGGGACAATTCGATATGAGGAAAGCTCCAGTTCTCGAATACTCATAAAGACTGCAGGGTAAATTACATCCACGATAGTGCTTATGTATTGTACTGTGCAAATTGATGAGCCTCAAACTAAGCACGATTGAAGGTGGAACAAGCTAAAACATACATCCTGTAAGGTTGTACACCCGGCATACAAGAAAAAGTCATTGCATAAAGATACCCAACTTAATACTACGGAGACTTGTGTACGGAGTACCGATGTATGTAATTTAGGTGTACAGTACCTACAATACTAGACGACTTATCACTAGATCCTCCTGGGTTGCGGTAAGGCCACACGATCCCACCTGCACGTCGAAATCCAGATCTACACCCACCCAATGCACACTCACAGCTGCTGAGCCGGTCATAGGGTTGGTTCAACCAGGATTGTCTACCCAACAAAGAAGAGCAAAATGGAGGAGAAAATTTTGGTAGAAACACGACTATTACAGTAGTAGTCGGCAAACTTTCGTCCCACCCAGCTGGCAGGTACAGACAGAACTGTAGGCTGCTGCGCCCCTCACTTCTCCTTCCCTTCTGCGGCTGCTGGTGCTTGTTGCTTGTTGCTTGTTACCCACTGAGTAGTTTGCTTGCAACAACAGCAGCAGCAGCAGCAGTGCTGCTGCTGCTGCTGCTGCAATTGATGAAATAAGAGCCTGGAATTGAGTACGCCTTGCCCTCAAGCAGTCAGCACCTATGATTATTCATTCTTAACTTCTAGCCGTTTGTCCTATTTAGGATCCATTGAATTGGAATTTTTGTTGGTATTATTATATTATTATTATTACTACGGAGTACTTTGATTTTTACTTGAATTTTTTTTTTCCCTTTTCTTGGACCCAGGTTTGATTTTCCCCAAAGAATTAATTAGTTCGTTTGTTCGTCTAACGAGTTTCTCTGCTTCTCCCGTCCTTGGTCTGCCCTAGCAAAGTAGTAGCCTCTTGCCCATTCTTCCTCGTTTCCTTTCCCTTTCTTTTCCTTTCTCTCCCCTCCATCGGATCCTCTGAAGAAATATCTTTTCTTCCTACCCCTCTTCTTTCTTCGTTCCTCTTTCCTCTTTCCTCTTTCCTCTCTTCTCACCTCCCCTCCCCCCACCCCATTTTTGTCCTCCCTGTTCTCTTCTTGAGTTCTTCCACCCTTCCCTTGTGTGCTTTTCGGAAAACACGGAGTCGGTTTCGCGGATAGTTCTGTGTCTTTTCCCTCTCTTAACTATTTCTCTTTGGATTTGCTTCCTATTATCTCTCCACCTCGCCGGAGTTATCTCGATTGTCCAGTTCCTGGTTTCTCTGTGACGTCCCTGTCTTCACGCATATTCGCGCCACGCCAAAGCAACGCATCTCTCGTCTCTAAGCCAATACATACATTGCAATTTTTGACATTGCCTGGTAAGTAGAGTATATCTTATGATATTAAATCCTTCTTCTGGTTTTTTGCTTTTTATGTTTTTGTTTTGCCCTGTTCTATCCTCTTTTGGCTTGAGTCATCACGTTTCCATTTTCTGCCCATCGATGGTGCTTGCGCGGGAACAATTCGGCCATACCGGTTATCAAATGTCCCTCTTACGATCAACATCACATCAAGCGCCTTCAACATGGTTGTCGATCAATCAGCAGCCTGCTCGCGGACATCTGGGGCACAAATCTGGAGGCAGAACCTTTGCCGAGTTGACTTCCCGATGATGCACCACGCGCCCGCGGCTTCTCATCGCTACGGTCGCTCGGCCGACGGACTTGAACGGTCGCTCGAATGATTCTGTATACGCTGAAGATCGCTACTCCTCCATTGTCGCCATTGACCGGCTTGGTTCGATTCTCTCCTGTTTCTGGGTAGCGCAGTGAAGGGGGGATTGGATGGGCCACTTGACACGGTCGCAACCGGGCGCGGATGGCCCAGAATTTCGGGATATGTCATCGACGAATGCGGCTATGAACGGGTTGAAAGCTCCAGCGATTTGCACACAATGACCCTGAGCATACTCGCCATTCCGGTGCTTGTCTATTCACGCCCTAAATCTCACATTTCCGGCTATTCCGCTGCCATCACCCGGAGGAACCTGAGTCTTGGCGCAGGAAGGGAGCGAATTCCCTGTCGGGCTGATCCCTTCCTGTTACCTATCCTCTTCCATCTTTTCTCGCTTGGTCCGCTCGAAGCCAAAAAAACTCCCCATCGATTCGCCCTCAACAAAGACCTTCTCAGTCCCTTCGTCTCGTTTTCTACTGATTTCACTTGCTCCTGGCTTGTCCATGTTCCGCTTTTGAATTGCATTATTCTGCTTATTGCATGGTCTTTGTTGCCTTTTGATTTGTTTTCCCTGGTTGATACACTGCTCCTTTCATCATTCCACGAGCTGCTGTGAAAATTCTGTCGCTCTGCCCAATTGTTCATCCCACATCACTAACCAAAGCTCCTTATATTCTCAGGAAGTGATTTGTCTTAATCATTTTCCGAACCTGAACGATCCTACGTCTTACTCCTTGACGACTTGAACGAACCACTTGTCGCACGGGCCATTTTCGGTATAGAAAAGTTGATTTCGCTTGAGTTCATTCTCCTTCCGCCTGCACTTTAAGGTACGATGATCTATGTCTTCATCTTGCAGTCGCTCGGACAGTGCTACTGTTTGAGCTTGAGAATTGGGGTTCCAGCTTACTAACATTAGCTTGTCACCGCGCAGATACCGTTGCCGCAATTATCGTTACGAAAGTCGAACTTTTACGTCAATATGTCTTTCCAGAACTTTGAATCTTTCCAAAACCAGCACCCTGCTGCTGATGCTGCTGCCGCCGCTCCCGGTGCTCCCGCTACCGCGGACACCACCATGACCGGCCAGGCTGATCCTAGCACTGCTGCTTTCCAGGGACCTGCTCCCGGTGAGCCCAATGCCGCTCCTGTCCCCCAGCAGGCTAATGAGGGCAAGACTACCCTCTGGTATGTCTATTCAACCTCCGCAAAGGGCATGTCATGAAAAACTTACCGAATCGTCCTTTAGGATGGGCGAACTTGAGCCCTGGATCGATGAGAACTTCGTTCGCAACTTGTGGTTCCAGATGGGTGAGCAGGTCAACGTTAAGATGATCCGTGACAAGTTCTCTGGGTGAGTAATGCATCAATGCTTCTGGATTGAAGGCGATCCTAATGTTGGTAGTAGGAGCAACGCTGGATACTGCTTCGTCGATTTCGCCTCCCCCGCTGCTGCTGCCAAGGCTCTGTCCCTCAACGGCACCCCCATGCCCAACACCAACCGCCTGTTCAAGCTTAACTGGGCTACCGGTGGTGGTCTCGCTGATCGCAGGTAAGGGCCTTCAATCTTTCGACACGATATGAACATGCCTGAGTTAACTTTGCCTCTAGCCGTGATGACCGTGGTCCCGAATACTCTATCTTCGTCGGTGACCTTGGCCCCGAGGTCAACGAATACGTGCTCGTCTCTCTCTTCCAGAGCCGCTTCCCGTCTTGCAAGTCGGCTAAGATCATGACCGATCCCATCAGTGGCATGTCCCGTGGTTATGGCTTCGTTCGCTTCTCCGACGAGAACGACCAGCAGCGTGCCCTGAGCGAGATGCAGGGTGTTTACTGTGGTAACCGCCCCATGCGCATCTCCACCGCTACTCCCAAGAACAAGGGACCCGGCGTTGTTCCTGGTGCCATGGGTATGCCCGCCGGGCCGGGCATGTACCCTCCCATGGGTGCTCCCCCTATGGGCTTCTACGGCGCTCCCCAGCCCATGAACCAGTTCACCGACCCTAACAACACCACTGTTTTCGTCGGTGGTCTGTCTGGCTATGTCACTGAGGATGAGCTCCGCTCTTTCTTCCAGGGCTTCGGCGAGATCACCTACGTCAAGATTCCCCCTGGAAAGGGTTGCGGCTTTGTCCAGTTCGTTCAGCGTCACGCCGCCGAGATGGCCATCAACCAGATGCAGGGTTACCCCATTGGTAACTCCCGTGTTCGCTTGAGCTGGGGTCGCTCCCAAAACAACTCTGGCCCTGCTGGCAGCCCCTACCGTCCTGCCCCCCCTCCGCCTCCCATGTACCCTTCGATGGGCATGCCCCCCGCACACCAGTACGGCGGCTTTGCTCCTATGAAGGTCAGTTCCCCCCAGTGAGCGGCCCTGGCATCACTCGGACCTGGGTTTATTGACTCCAATGTCTAGTAAAAGAGCGTTCCTCTTTAGTTTGAAAGAAACAGCAGGAGTTTTGCGTCATTTCACGATGGGTCTCTTTTGTGTGTCATAACCAGTCTGCTATTATTTCTGCGAAAGTTACCCTCTATAGCTCTGGATGAGCATTTTCTCCTGTGCTACGTACTTCATATGCGAGCGCTTTATTTTTCCTTTAGCAGCATTTGAGCTCTGTTTCTATTTCTATCATATCTTATCCTATTTTATCTTGATGTTTCTACTTCTTACCTCCCCCTCCAATTCCCTTCTCATCCAGTCTGTTGTATGCGTTTCGTTCCATTCCAATGCCTCTCAACCCCTATCTTACATTGATTATTATGTCTTATAGGCCTCCACAGGTCTTATCCTTATGTGTACGACAGCAATCGGATTTGTTTCATTTGCGCATTGGTTCCCATATACTCCCTGGGCAGGCTTTTTGCGAAAAGTTCATCTGAGATTCCCCTTTCATGAAGCAATCCAATCAAGTGTCTCGTTCTGAGGATGTCGCGCTGTGCTTTCTGATCGTTTTGTGGGCCTGTATAACATTCACCCGTTGCGGCGTCTTCGCCAGTTATTCCTTCAACTCTGTTCCCTGTGGAACATACCGTTTTCGATACATGCTTCAATGCTTTCTCTCTCTCTCTCTCTCTCTCTCTCTCTCGCGACGGTGTCATAAACGAATACCTCTGATCTATGTCGTCGTCCCCTCTCTTGACTGTACTCGCAAAGCGTCATGACTTGGTATTTGGAGTGATGGGCTTTACTCGCTTTGCCTGCTTCTTGATCTAATCTGTAGTCGTCCTTGAGGTCTCATCGAGGAGGTCTGGCCGATGGGGCTTAGCCTTGAGGGCGCTGGACTTGCTTTGTTGTAATATGGTTTTTCATTTATTTATTTATTTACTTCTCTTTTTTGTTTCTTTGCGGTGCGGACGATTCCCCTTAGCCTGACAGGATTTTGACCCTGTCCTCCTGCTGCTGCTGTCGTTCTTGCCATTATAACTGTTGTTACCTGCCATATCGAAGTGGCGATATATTGGCTCGCGGGGAGCTGAGCTCATTCCGCTATGTAGTATATGGAACTTGGAACCTTGGACACGATATAGATGCCTGTCTACCGATTAGGTATTGATTGAGTTGACCTCCCATAGATTGCAGGAAAGCGTCCGACCAAGGCAGGTGCTGGTCCTGCTCCCTGCTCCTGCTCCTTCTGCTTCTCCTACTTACTTATCATTATTGTCCATTGCCTATTGTCCATATGGACGTCCCATCTACCTCCAGCTTAGGTCTCTAGGTACTAGTATCCATCCACCGACCTTTCCTCCTCCTTCTTCTACTCCTTATCCCGCCTTCCTTCCTTGCTCTGTCTCTTTCTCTTTCTCTGTCTCTTTCTCTTTCTCTGTCTCTTCTCTCTCTCTGTCTCTTTCCCTTTCTCTGTCTCTTTCTCAATTACTCCCCTTCTGTCTGTGCATTTCCACTCTGTCATCTCGTTTTATACTTGCTCTCCATCTCAATCCCAGGCCTGCTCTTGGGTCTTCCTCAATAAAATCGCCGTTTGAGGAGGGTCTTTATACTTGACATATCTTACTATCCGTCGATTCTTCCTTGCTCAGTTTATCCATCGCCTCGCCCTTCGCCCCTCTCCTCAAATAGAGATACCCACGACAAGAAGTTTCAATATGCGCTACGAAAATTGGGATGTGCTTATCTTCCCCGAAACTTCCAAGGTGCCTCTCCAAGAATTCAAGACGCAATGTTTTGTCACCAAGGATAAAGGTTAGTAGTGTTCAAGGAGTTTACGGTCAGATGAATGTGTGCGTTCTCTGCTAACGCTCGTGCAGAATCTCCCTACCTGCACAGCCCAGCCCTTATCAACCCAGCCTCATGCTCCATACCACAGGGCAATCTGGGACAGTTGCCGGTTTTGACTACGTTCATCCCAAGCTTGCGTCAAAATACTCCTTTTCGAGTGTCCATTCATAGCTGGGATAGGCCTGTGCCTAGCCGGTTCATGGAAAGTCTTCTTCAGCCAGATGATTCATTGCTCTTCGAAGTCCGCGTCTTCATCGACGGGCTTTGCGTGTCGTAAGCAACCTTCAGTCGCCTGCAGCCTCCTTCATTCGGAGTCATGCTTGCTAATATCTTGTAGCGGTAGCGTGTTTACTCAGAGATCCTCTTGGCCTCATGTTCTCGGTAAGTCTTGATGCCCTCGAGTCGGACGTGGCATGCAAGCAGAGCTGACTGAGATGACTCTGCCGGCTTAGACCTGAGTTCCTGTGCGTTTCAGAAATCCCTTCCAATCCTCTGCTGTTCGAGTGAGCTTCCTGACTTAGTTTGGCCCAGATGTCGATAAAAGCGGCAACCAAGATCGTCTCCGTTTCCCTACGTTTCACCATGAAATCCTGAAGCAACCGCATTGGGATGCTGGTGAACTCTACGGCAGGATCAGGGTAGTAATTGCTGAAGGGTTTTCGCGACCTCACCGCTCGCCCCCCTTCGAACGTGTGAAAGAAGTCATCGCATTTGCTTTCCAGCATGCTCCTCTCCGTGAGTTGTGCTATGAATCACTTGAGCTTACAAGCCTCACTGACAAGAACTAGAGATTCTTGAGTACTCCGAAATTGCCTGGCCGAATCCCTCTATGTGGACGCGTGAGCCCCGGCTGTTTAAGTACAACTCTAGGTGTGCTATAAGCGACATGAAAGAGCCTGAAGATAGCCACGCGCACTCACCTTCAAGACATGAGGGTCGACAAATCTTGGCCACTAGAAGCCAGACCAGCAACCAATCTGGGTGCAGCTCTTGGACTTACCGCAATTATCAGCGGCAGGTACCCCAATGGCAAGGCCAACCAGGCGAGTCCAGATGGCTGCCTCAAGAACAATTCGTAACAGATCCCTTCATTGACCCCTGCGTGCTCGACCCGGCTGCACGCCACCGAGGAGCTAGAGCGTCCTGGGAAGATGTTCCTATGCCAGACTATACGTCCAACTCCAGTAGTAGTCGCGCCATTTCAAGCATGACGGGCATCAGTTATGAACACAGCAAGCATCCTAGCATTGTTACCCCTATCGATGAGGAGTCGTACACTCAGTTGTTAGAAGCGCTGAGTCCTGCACCCCTCAACTGTGGCACGTATGCGCCCACAAACACACCTTCGACTGCGCTGCCCATGGGGACTAAGCTCTCAGCGGCAGCGAGAGCTCGATCTGCGTCTCATTCGAAGAGCACAGGACGAGCATCTGAACTGAGAGAGACATCGGTGCCCGAGACCAGGGAAATGTCGGCTTCAAGCACGAAGACAACCCCGGCTGCTGAAACTGCAGCAACAGGCAAGGTGCATGCCAGTCCAAGCACGCATGTCAAGAGTCGCAAGGAAGGTCTATCTTACGAGAACAAAGAGAATGAACTTTCGGTAGAGACATCTGGGAAAGACAGTGGCAAGGCTCACCAGACACCGCTGAGGCCTACAGTACGTACCAGCGGAATCATGGGGACGCCAACCGAGCCCAAGGCGGATCTATCATCATCTGCTGGTGGAAGCGAGGACCTTCGCGATACCAAACAGGTACCCATTTTGATGTCTCCCACTAAAGACTTACCTATGGGTGGACACCTGGTTCATCATGCGAACCTTGATGGCTCCCTTGAGACGAGACCCCCGCTTGTTGGCAGCACGGCCGTGGATGTGGCAGAGATCGATTAGTCTTATCGTTACATTACTACTAGGCGCAGTCTCTTTCATATGTTTCACTGTCGGATGATAGTTTCACCTTGAACTCTACCTTCTGTGTTACTCTACATGTGATTCATGCTCTGTTTCCAACAATAGGCGTGCAGGTACAGTACATGGGACTGATGCTGGATTGCTGGGTCGCTGGGTCGCTGGACGCTGGACACTGGACACTGGACATTCATTGATCATACCTATATATCTATCCCTATCGAAAGAGTCTGTCAGTCGTCGAAGGCAAGATTAACATGTTTAGCATGCATGAGAATTGAGAAATTGCATTGCGATGTCAGTTCAATGAAACAAGTTCTCACATGGGTCGGTTTTCTTCCCCAATAGCTCTCTCTAGCCCAAACCCGGAAGGTGTGCCCCTTCACTTGCCCTTTACATTTCTTCTTACTCTGCCTTCTCGATTTCTCTACTCACTTTCCCCTCTTACTTATTTCTTTCTTCGCCTCAAGCTCTCTCTTCCTTGGAAACTGAGCTCCATTCCCTTCGATTGATTGTCATCGTCTCTGTCATAAAATCTCAAATTGTTGCTGATCATGGACAAACACCACGTCCTTCCGCACGAGGCTCTAGCAGCATCCTCCACTTCGAGTACTCCATTCACAGATGTACTTTCACAGTATGAGTACGGCTCGCCTGCGGGGTTCGCACATTGGGCTTATGATCCATCGCCATATTGGAAACTCATTGATCGGGCGTCTACTCCAGCAGAGGGCCAGAACCCGCTTCCACCACCTACATCTCATGTAATCCCAACGCCACGTCTCATACAACCCCAGATTGTGGCTTCATTTGCCCCTGCGAATCTATAACGCGAACCAAGCCCCAATATGTGGAGCAAAGAAGAGCCCCAAGCGCGCAAGCCAACGGTTGTTGTCGTCGAAGCGTGGAACATGAAGGATTCACCCGCGAAGATTTCACGTTTCGCAGATGTAGACTTGGATTACCTGGAAGATGATGTGGTTCTTTTCTGCTTTGGTGTTCTCACGACGCAGGCACTGCTCCTTCCGCGTTTTCAGTTCAATTTCTCGAAAACTCGTCGCTGGGGAGTCAAGCTCACCATGTATGGGCACACTATCATCAAGTCGACCGTTTATGATACTCAAAAAGAGGCCAAATCCGATGCCTGTCGCGCTGCACTGAAGAAGCTGCAACTTGATTTTCCGGATTGGATTTTGCCTGATGATTTTGATAACATTGAATCGTCGGTCGATTGGGATTGGGTTGATCTCCTCCAAGGCAAGAGACTATCATCGCATGTTTTAGGCCCATCTGACCAGCTTCCCGGCAGAATTCTGTACTCACAATGGCTTTGAATTGCCCCGATACACTAGAATCATGCACGGAAACGAGGTTTATCACAAGGTTCAGGTCCACCGTACGACCTACACTGGCAGAACTGGGACCTATGCTGAAGATGAACTCTCACGAAGATCATGCGCCTTGTTGGCTCTGCGGCATCTATACATCGATGGCTCTGAAACAAATAGCAACCTCTCGGGCACGCTGACTCTGGAGGGGATGGATGCTAGGTTGCTCGCCTTGGTTCCAAGAGACCCTGTCCAGGCACGGACCTACATCTGGGGAAGTTCCAACCATGCAAAAGCCTCTCGCAAGAAGACGAAACGTGAACGTATGGTGCAGTTCCATAAGAAGAAACGACCAGTTGAACATGAGCCCTCAGCTGAGTTCCCTAACGAGGTTGATGGCAACAGAAAGCGCCCCAAAAGCGTCCCTCGGAACTCAAACATGTTGCCACTTCAACACTCCAGGTTGGCATCGATTGAAGTACCTGCCGAGAAAGAAGAAAAGAGGTGGGCAGTGACGCCCTGTCAAATCCAGAGGCAGATACATGATCTGGCTTCGTCTACTGAAAGATTGCAAAGTAAATCCCATGTGCTTGCTCTTGTGCTTGTTGGCCAAGCTGCTAACTACATGCTTCTACGTACAGAGGTCTGCGATCTCCTCCGTTTGGAATACCCCGAGATCCGAGTTGACAGACAGGACGGGCGCTTGATCGACACACGCGGAGAATATACTGCAGGGGCTTACTTCAAGACCGATCCATTCCTCCGACGTGCCGGCGCCGTCGGCCCCGTGACCGGTCTGCAGGACAGCAGGTCACTGGCCGAACAAGCCTGTGCCGAAGAGGTTATTAAGTACTTGATACGGATGGTCGAGGAGGACGAAGAGCTTGAGACCAAAATTGCGAAACAGCGTCAGAGTGTCGAACAGTGGAAAGCCAAGAATGAAGATACTATGATGCATGATCACCAGTAGTAGTGCGCGTTGTTGCTGGAAACCAGCTGTCACTTAACCATGACTTAATGCCAGATTCAAGAAGTGCTCACGGAAAGATTTTGTTTCCTGAGCGTAGTCTGTCTATTTTCGAGGGATATTTTAATTCTGGTGTCATCGTGTGTTGTACGTTGGCGGTTTTGTTTTCAGGGATGGAGGGGAAGGACTGGAGTGGAATTGGTTCCTGTGTGTCTGGGTCTTAGTGCAGGACAGTACAAGTGTTCTCTATGTGGATGGCCCCAGCTGCGCTGGTGGAGAATTGACTATCTTGATGAATGTGCGAGTCATAAAAACAGCGGCGACACGACGACATATTGTAACAATGGAATTGCTATGATCACTTTTACCATACCCTGACGAGACTAGAAAGTTCACTGGATAGGCCTGATTTGCAGTAGGCCGGCTGAAGCGCACCAGATCTCTTGTGAAAAAGGCGGGCGGAACAGATATTCCAGCACGACATAGATAGAGAATCGCATATAGGCAGGGAGCAAGCAATGTTGCAACGCAGATCTCGGCTGGAATTGGATACGATGTAAAAATGAAGTGAGGCAGAAAAGAAAAGGCTAAGAGAAGACGTCAATCCTCTTCCTCGATTCATAAAACCATTCCCGTAAGAGTCAAAGTAGCGACTAGGACCTCATTGATAACGCCAAAGTCAAAAACAAGGAAGATAGCAAGTAAATAAGACAAAGGGAAAAAAAGAAAGAGAAGATAAAATGATCGAAACAAGCAGAACCTGTTTGTAGGGAAGAATAGGAAGGAAGGGACTTTGAGAAGGGAGAGAAGAAAAAGGCCAGCCAAGGACGTACATATTGTGATGGGGATCCCGAGTATTAATGTAGGAGTGGATAAGGGGTCTGCATGGCTAACGCTAGAGAAACATCACACCCGAAGGTGGCCTCAAGGGGTGAGAATTGATAAAAGGGACAAAATTAATCAAATAATAATAGTAGAAGAAATAGAAGGAATTTCAAAACAAAGGCCACACAAAAACGCGTAGGGCTTGGAAAGAGCGGCTTGTATACAAGCCATGTCCTCCGGAGCCTCTCGTTGGCAAAGCAAAGGAAGGAATATGCAGAACGGATACGCCAACGCCTTGTCAGTAAAGCACGTATCCAAATCATGTCAACAGTGAAAGACGGTGGGTGACGGCAGCAAGGAAGAAAATAGAGCAGAAGCACAACACATGTCGAAGTTTATGGAAATGTACAAAGCAAGGGTATATGAGTTAAGAACTGAACAACCGTCGGATCACATTCATAGGCCATCCCCGGCACCGGTCTCAACACCGTCGGTAGGATACGATATATTGGGATCGAATCCAAATCCAGCCGTGTCGGCGTCGGTGTTAAGGAATGTGTCGAAGTCAAAGTTCTCAAGAATGTCTGGGTTCTCTAGAGCGCTGAAATCGAGGTTGAACACCTGTGGCTATGGCAGTCAGCATACAGTTTCTCGTTTACAGCAATCCATGTGGGGATCCCAGAATTTTTGATGACATACATCAGGTACACCAAGCTCGCCGAATTGCTGACCCTGATCGGGTGGGGGCTGCACGAGCGGCTGAGGTGCGGGGGCAGACGTAGGCTGCTGAGGAGCACTAGTCGTAACATTGGCACCCGCCTTGTTGAACGAGGCTGGATGCTGAGGGGTGATTGGGGTGGATGGAGTAGGAGTGGGCGGGTGTTCAGCTTCGGAGGATGGTGTGGCAGCCGCGTTTGCTGATGCGGCAGCCGCTGCGGCAGCAGTGGTTGCTTTCTTCGAAGGCCGCTGCGATCTCAATTAGTGACATGGACGAAGCCACGAATGCGCAAGAATGAACCCCATAGATACATACCTTACGAGTGTCCTTAGCCTCTTTCTTTTTAGGGGCAGGCTTGTTCGCCTGCTGCGGCGTCGGTGGGGCGGCAGCGGCCGTCTGGGGGGAGGGTGGCTGAGTGCGACCAGTGTTCGCACCGGCTGCAGGAGGAGCCTGGGGAGGCGGCATCGCGTTCCTCTCCTGTGGAGTCCCGGTCGACTGAGGCTGGGTTGCAGGCGATTGTTGCGGAGCCATGGGTTGCTGGGCACCCTGCTGAGGTTGCCAATTTCCACTGGGTACCCGGTTTCCGGCGCCGGCGGGAATGGGTTGACCCATCTGAGGGGCGCTAAACGCTGGGTTGGAGCTTGGGGGTCGCATACCGTTGGGGCCGGTCATACCATCGGGTATACCCTTCACGAAGAACTGACCGGCCATTTCAGGAGGAATCTGATTACCGAAGTTCATGGAGGCGGGAGAACCACGACCCTGGGCCATCGCGTCGCCGGCACTCGGGGAGCCGGGGAGACCGGTCTGGGGCATTTTCGGCGTGCCCCGTTTCATTTGATCGTTGGGATTTGGCGACGTGCCCGCCCTGCTGCCTTGGGGAGAAGTGCCTGGTTGCAGGCCCGGCTGCCCAGGCAGCGGGGGCTGGCCGTCAGGACGGGCCATGCTATCCTGCTCTTGGCGAGCCATCATCAAACGCCGCTTATTCTGCTGTTCAAGCAGCATAAGTTGCATCTGATAATCTTGAAGAGCGTGGTTTCCGGGCTGACCGCCAGGTGTCTGCATCCCGTTCCGGACCTGGGCCATTTGACCATTCGCGCCATAGTAGTCGCCGTTGATGGGATACACCTGGCCATCTGGCATGGACACCATATCCGTCTGGTTTTGCATGACACCGGGGTTTATCATACCATTCGGCATACCCTGGTTATTCATTGCTGAGCGTGAGTGATGAATGGCCAAGTTCTGAGCATATACCTGGATAGATTTCTGCTGCGCAGCAGGTCCTGACTGCGGGAAAGCCTGGAATTGATTGGGGTTCATCGCCCGGTTGAGTCCATTCTGCATCAAGAGAGCGGCCTGAGGGTTCGGTTGGCCTGGCATGCCCTGGACTTGAGCGCGTCCGTTGGGGGCTAATTGCTGGCCATTCATGAGGCCACCTTCAAGACGGGGCCGCTTCGAAGGAGATGGGGCGTTTTCTGCGGACGAAGGGGATTGTGGTCGGTGGCCATTCATATCGATGTCTGAGTGCTCGCGAGTCATTTGCATCATTTGGAGTTGTTGATGCTGATTTTTTTGAAGCTGCTGCAGTTGCTGTTGGGTCCTATATAACAGATCAGTATATCACCTGCAACCTGCAGGAAATGCAGAAGAATGAGCATACAGGCCTGGAGTATTGTTCTGCAGAGCGGTCTTTTGGAGAGGTTGGGGAACCATGCCGTTGCGTCGAATGTTCATTTGTCCCATCTGGCCAGGCATCAGCGGCTGCTGCCGTAAAAGTTGATTTTGGTGTTGCTCTCTGAGGCGCATAATGTTCTACAAAGCCCCAGTTAGACTCCAAGGTATATTGCGGGCTTGCGAATGATACATACCTGAGTATGATTGAGGTATTGTCGCACATCAGCACTATTTCCCTTCTTGCGCTGGGCCCAAAAGAACTCCCAGAAGAGACTGAACCATTCGAGAAGGAAAGACGACTGTTGACCTTCGCTCGAGATGTGGGGGCGAGGAAGATCATCGGGTATCTTCTTATCCCCATCCTTTGCATCAGTCATCATTGCATCTCCATCGACCCCATTCACATCACCATCGCGACGATGGCCGGGGCTCGTCTTGATGGGGGGCTCGGTATTGAGCTTTACAGATTCATCCTTCACGAGCGCTCTGGCGCACTCATAGTAACCGCGTTTCAGGAAGTAGTCGTAGATAAAAGTGTTGAGGTTGCCGACTGTGCTCTCAGGGATAGTGTGGATGGTTGCATCGTTGCGAGGGGCCGCGGAACCGTTGTTGATCATTGGAACACCTCCCACAGGACCGCCCGCACCGGGGTTCATCCCAGCCACGTTCATTTGGTTCATGGTGGCACACGAAGGGGTAAGCCACCCTCACCGGACGATTGTTAATATCAAATATTTTCAGCGCGCATCCACCGTCTCACGGCGAAATGGTTCACAACAAGCAGAAAGACGAGACGCGCAGATATCCAGGCGATGGGGAAGAGGTTAGGTCACAGCTGCTTCCGACCCGATATCAGACGGTTGAAAGTATTTAAACAAGACGCGAAGTCGCCTAACTGACTCGATGTGGCGCAGAAGGACAACGCAGTCGCGATGATCCCCGAATCAAGACCAGCGTGTCTCACGCGGGAGCGAATGGAACAAGTATGTACGAAAGAATCTGTCGCTAAACCGACACGATGAAAGATGGATGGTCAGAGGGAGCAGTGTTGGGTGAGATGGAAAGGCAACACAGGGACAAGAGTATTATGTTCGTACAAGGACCCAGCCGCTCGAGAATGCGCGGTAGAATCAGCTGAATGAGATATGGGGGCGGCGACAAGCGACACGAGTAGGCAAAGGACGGGAACGGCGTATAGGAGAGAGAAGACGGCCAAGGAGGCGTCTCAAAGTTCAAGAACAAGTATCACCACCTAGGAAATCCAGAAGTGGCGGAGGGAGAGGAGGAGGACTTCAAGAGGGGCTAAGAGTAAATCACCAGAGCCCCTGCAGAAAAAGGGAATGGGGGTGGGTGGGTGTGTGGGAGGGAGAAAGTGGAAAGAGACGGAGAGATCCGGCAGATTCGAGGAAAAGGTGGAGGGACGGAGGGGGGGGGGGAAGGGAGGGAGGAGGAGGAGGGAGGAGAGGCGAAGGTTAGGACAAGGTGTAGCGGTGGATCTGAGGTGTTCTCTGGTGGGTGGGAGGACGTGGATATCAGGCGCGGTGCCTGGAGTTGCTGGGCTGTTCAATCACTGCCGGCTGGGCGTGAATCGCTTGTTCGGAACGGAAGAATTTGATCGGAACGCCGCAGGAGGGCTGGGAGATGCTGCTGGCTGGCGTATATTTCAGCATGCACTTCCACATATGGCGGCAACACAACCACCCCGGGCCCCAAGGAAGAATAGAAGCAAAGGGGAAAAAAAATATTGATGATGATGATGATGCGTATGATGATGTTGATAATGATAATAATGATGACAACAGGAACAAAGAGGCAAAATGTCGAATTATGATAAAATAAACTTACCAGCACTAATACAGAACCAGAAAAAGCAAAAGAAAGACAAAAGAGAGGATTTACTCGTAGTTGGTGAGTGAGTAGTAGTGAGGTGATTGAGTAGGGGAAGAAAGAAGGGAAAGGGACGGAAAGGTGGAGAGCCAAGTCCTTTTCCCAGAGGCAAGACAAGAGGAAGACCGATCGGGTCAAAGTGATGTATCTAGACAGCTGAGGAGAGCTGGTTAGCTTCTGGGAAAGTCAAGTATACACAGAACACAGATTGAGCAGCAAGAGAACCGAAAAAAAAAAGAAAAAGAAAAAATTCAGAAAAATTCGAGCATGCAGTATGATCACTACTCTTCGTTTTGAATCAACAAAGATCACCAGATCAGACAGACGCTGAGTCTAAAAAGGATCGATGGATCGATGGCTGGTCTACGGGAGTAGAGACCGTAGACCGTAGTCACTTAACCAAAATGACGATGGGAAGGGAATTGATCTATCCCGCGCGACACAAATCACCTATCGATGGCGAATATAGTCGGGGGCAAGATTGAGACTGCTGTTGAACGCAACGATATCGGTACATACCTATCAATTGAGCTAACTAACAAGTTCAGCAGATCCAGTTGGACAAATACTCGTAGTCAATACTAACAAGTATGAAACTTTGCAAGCATCTCAAATGTCAAATACTCTAAGCTTCTACATTTTAAGTTGCTCTATCTATCGATAAAGTCGTAGTCCTCCAGGGCGGACTGGGACCCTGCGTAATTCTTAGCACAGTCAAGGGAAGTTGTCCGCTGCCTATTGGGGCTTAGTGCATCACATGGCTCCCGGCCACATCTCCCCATGTCATCGTCCTATCTAATTGCATATCTCAACCTTAACTATGTACATAAAAAGCATAGAGCTCATGGTGTTTGAAGATTGTTATCATTATCATCTTAAGATACTTTATTTTCTCACAGCTATTTCATGGGCGGGGGTGAAGATGATAATTACGAAGATTATGAAGTAATGTGTTAGATGAATTTATGCCGCTGCAAATGTTTGAAGTGTCAGATAACTACTTATACTATTAGGGCAGAGAATCCGATCTAGGATCTGGTGCTGGCCTAGAGTATTCTTTCTATGCAACTGTCTATTGCACCTTCATTTTTAATCACAGGGTCACTTCTTCAAACCTTCGTCAGTGTTTCAACATTTACATCTTGTCCCTTTTCCTTGTGTGGCCCTCACGATAAGAGTATAAATGTACATGTATCGCACGCACATAGAATGTTTACTTTACTTGTAGCTCCATCAATCATAAGGTACAGGTGATCTCGATCAACCATTGCAGCTGCAAATAAGGATACTGAATGTAAAGCCCGCAAACACCGGACGCCTCGACCAATAATACTAAATTCATGCAACACACTTCCCGCTGTGTTTATTCCTCCTCAGGTGGCATCTCATCTTCAATGTACCTCACAAGTGATACGCGCATCTCCGTGGTGTCATCTCCTCGCAGTATATCGCTTACAAAATGCGCCTCGATCTGCATTTGTACCTGTTGACAGAATCAGTAGCCCGCGTGCGAGTATTTTGGCTGGGTTAGAAGATATTACCATCTCTAGAGCCCCCCGCAAAACACCGCACAAAATATTTGAGAACCAAAGCTCATCTTGAGCCCGCCCATCATCCGGTAGTTCAACAAAGTCTGCAAGCGGGTTTTCATCAAACACCAACGAGAATTGATTGTTGTCACTTGTCCAATTCGTTACAGTGGGGGCGATATTGAGGAATATCCGAAATCCGACCTGTCACACATTCCAGGAGTCAGCTCATTGATCCCAAGACGTCCGAGCGAGATCGAAGTAATAAGCTCTACCTTAGAAATCATGTCTGCCGTCTCCCGGAAATTAGCACACCGGCCTACATTCGATTTCGCCAGAAAATCTTCAATAAGGCGCATTCCAATGTTGTAGCCCATCTTTTCCAGCTGCTTGTTGACCTCCTGATAGTTTCCGTCATAGTCCTGACAAAGTTGTGCGACAATCGTTCCATATGTCAACGTGACTAGCTCCGCATTGACTTTGTCGACTCTTGTTCTATCAAAGCCAGGTGGTGAGTCCCCGCGTCCCTTAATCGGAAAACTGCCCTAGGGCACCATGATTCTCGCGCCGCTCACTTACTTCCATAGTCTAGCATAATAGTCGTCATGTTAGCGGATGTGCTAATCATTAGGTGGAACTGCGGCTTCGCTTACTCTTCCCCAATCCTAGATGCTTTGGTATTTGATGACATGATAGGCGCTGAAGTCTGTCTCTGACAGCCAAGGATTGAAGGGGAAAATTCAAGGGAATAGGATATCCAATCTCAGCTGCCTGGGTAGCCGGCCGAGTGTTGACAATGAACTCTCCCTGCTCGATCTCGGGACCGAGGCGGAGCTTCACCGCCTAGTGGACCATCCGCGGGCGTCTATCGCGGCTAATGTCACACAGCATCCATGATTGCGATGCTCGGGAGAAAGACCAGGCACTCACTCAGCGCTCTCCTATCCCCTATAGCCTTTCAATTCTAGCCTAGCACATTTCCGAATCCTATCTCAACATTTCTCGGTATCTTTCCCCGCCTGTCGACCATCACGTGTTTCCTACCCGTTGGCGAGCCAGCCCATTACAAAATGATGTCCGGCGAGAAGCGACCTGCTCAAGAGGCCTTCGGGTCCTCCAACCAGCTAGTCGTCAAGCGAAAGAAGTCCGATGCTGGTATCGATAACAGTGCAGCTGTGGTCAAGGGCTCTTCGCAAAACGGGGCTCTCGTGCAAGCAGTAGGTCACTGAATAGCCCGAAAAAATCTACCGAGTGTCTGTTCTGATCCCGACAACAGGTTCCCCGCACCAGCGGGCTTCAGGCCCCAATCATGGAATTGACAGGTAGGCTTGCGCGGAGGGTAGGCAATTTCCTGTCGGTTAACATATATATATCAGGTCATTCTGGCGAGGTTTTCTCTGTACGATTTGATCCAACGGGTCAGCACATTGCTTCAGGATCGATGGACAGATCAATCTGTGAGCAAACCACTCCGCTTTTTTCAACTTAAATACGAGAAGCTAACATCAGTGGCAATTAGTACTCTGGAATACTTACGGAGAATGTGAGAATTATGGCGCATTGTCGGGTCATCGGGGTGCTATCCGTGATCTTCAATGGTCTCGAGACTCCAAGACGATATTCTCCGCATCGACAGACATGACGCTTGCCAGCTGGGACCTAGAAACAGGTCAAAGGATCCGACGACACGTGGGCCATGAAGATTATATCAATTGTCTTGATATCAGCAAAAGAGGCCAGGAGTTACTGGTTAGCGCTAGCAATGATGGCAGCATAGGTATCTGGGATCCTCGGCAGAAAGACGCTATCGATTGTTTGGAAACCGAACTCCCTATCACTGCGGTGGCCCTCTCCGAGGCTGGGAACGAGATATTCAGTGGTGGTATCGACAACGCCATTCATGCTTGGGATCTTCGAAAGAAAAGTATTGTATATTCCTTAACAGGACACACGCACACCATCACCTCGCTCGAACTATCCCCAGACTCGCAATCGCTTCTCTCCAACTCTTTCGACTCTACTGTACGGACGTGGGACGTTCGGCCATTCGCACCAACCAATCGACACATTCGAACTTTCGATGGCGCTCCAGTTGGTCTGGAAGAGAATTTAATTCGGGCCAGTTGGGACGCGACGGGTGAGAAGATCGCCACCGGAAGCGGTGACCGAAGTGTTGTCGTGTGGAACTCTAAGAGCGGGAAGCTCCTATACAAATTACCAGGACATAAGGGAACTGTTAATGATGTTCGGTTTTCACCGAGCAACGAGCCCATCAGTAAGTCCTCGGCTGTGGAGTCTTTTTCTGTCCTTTGCTTGACTGTTATGTTCTAACTCTTTTGGAATAGTTGTGTCCGGGTCATCTGATCGCACTCTTCTGCTCGGCGAACTTGGCAAGTGAACTTGTCTTCGGGGCTATGTCAGACATCTAGCGATGTAATCAACGTCCCGGTACCGCATAAGAAGCAACTGGAATATACCACGCTCACCATTTCAAGCTAAACTCCCCCGGGGTTCGTGTGGCTCTGGATCATGATGGTCACAGCAGCACGTCCAAGCGAGGTCTGGGCCATCCTAGGCAAGGAGAGTTACTTGAATAATCAAGAACAAGGATTGAAATGCGCATGACAGCAAAAGGCTACCATTAGATCTCCATTGGGCCACCCCCATTTCAATGTAAACATCAACGGGGGACCACACCCACCACACAGCATCTTTGTCCGCTCCTGTAGTTGTTTAGCTCCTCCATTTGGTGTACATTATAAATCTCATGCGGGTGGTGCAGCCAAATTATTCACTATATGGTAGCCAGCATCAACCATGACATCACTGAAGAGTGAGAGTACTACTGTACTACTGCGTTTACCATGTGTTGGTTCGTACTGAAGTGTGGCTGTAGACCCGAGCGGCAAACGTGGGTCATCCAGGGGTAAATGCTTCATGGCAGATTGCCTAAAACAAGATATGAATATAACTTGCAAAGTATGAAGTCCAAGGGATTGATTGAGCAGAGGGTTGTGAATCGATAATACTAATTATAGATAATCGGCACTGATACTGAAATTAAGCTGTAGGTTAACTTATCTATTTGTTAGTTAATTGTCTTTTTTTTTTCACATCGCAAACGCGACCAGCGAATTGAGCTACTCCATCCATGTAATGATGACACTGAGTGGCTCCAAACTTAGTGTTAGTTAGTCCTCTAGTTGCTACTTATGGAAACAACTGGAGACCTCCAACTGCACTAAATTACCGTCTGGCCGCGGCTTGCTGTTCCTTCCCCCTGCTCAACATACGCCGCCGCATTCTCTCTCTCTGTCTCTCCCTACTAAGTCTCTTTGTTTCTGTCTCTCGGTCTTTCGGTCTCTCTCTCTATCCTACGTTCTGCTATCTCTCCTTCTTCCTTCTCTTTAACCCAATTTTCATTTCATATTTATGATGAGACGATCATCTCTCCCTCTCTCCCGACATACCTATCCTGCCCCCCGCTAACTTGCCCAAATTGACTTCTTATCGATCAGACCATCTCCTTTCTCTCTTCAGCCAGCATCCATCATTTCGTTATCCCCTGTGCACATATCACATATCATTGTCGATTACCTTCATATCAGTATCATCGCATCCACTTGCTCACTGCCTTTTTACCGATTAGCTGCAGCTACTATAATATTCATTTTCTTCGCTATTCTTCGCTATCAAGTCCGGTTTTCCATCACCGAGTATAGCCACTGATCTAACCTTCACACAACCTGGACCGCAAGCTTAGCCTACTGCCGCTATTGTCTTACTCCAATTATACTTGCCTGTGTCACTCGACACATTGAATATCGATCCTCTGGTTGCTGGACACCTTGGTTCGCGATCGGGCCTCCCGTATGCTGCTTCCCAGTGCCCCTCAGTCGACTTGGGCTGAATCATCATGAACTTTTAACGCCGAATTCAACCTACTTATCTATTCTCGTCGCTAATCACCGAATTTGCCTGGGATTTCCGGTTTGGCTTCATTGAAGTCGATCTTCGCAGGAGGTTTCCGTCACGGTGTACGCTTTTTCAAAGCTTGTTTGTGTGCTGTTGAACGGATGCGGAAGTGGCCTCGGATTCATACATACTTCCGTCCACAAGGAAACCGCATTGCGACTCGAGGGTCTGTCGCCTGAGTGCTCTCTTTGGGTATTAAATCCAATTCTATCTCGACGTTTACTCTGACTCTTCATCTCTTTCGCTGGGATTAGACCAGATGTCAGTCGTTGATCATTAAAGGTTCTCAACATGGAATCGGTTCGGCTGTCGCATCCAGATTCGACACATTCCAACTTAAACACCGGCATGCTGTCCAACTCAGCATGGTCTGACAACACTCACGGATCGGATCATCTAGCCCACATCACTTCGCCTCTTGGCCAACGCATCGCATTAAGGGCAAATGACCGTCGCCTAGATGATGGGCAACAACTCCTTGGTGATGATCGCACTCCAGACCAGGGACCCCGCCTACGTGAAGGTCCTGTAACGTCATTCAACAGTTCCGGAAATGTCTCTGCATCAGTATATGCGCCACAGCGGACATACTTTCCTATCGAAATGCAGCCATCAACAGAGCGGAATGGCCATGAGCCGCAAGCTGAAATGGGCCTGTGCAGAGAATCACAAGATCTAGCTTTGGCAAGCAACACTAGCAGTCCCAACTGTGGCAGGCGCTCATGTACCTCGATCTTTGCAGAGAGGAAGGTTCGCAGGCGGCTCATCACATTGACTGCGTCTGGAGTGTTCCTCCTTGCAGTTGTCGCAGTATACCTTGCATTCGCTGCTTCGCGCACTACCTTAGGCCGGGAGCTTCAAATTCTTTTGATCTTTATGATACTAATAATTGGCATCGTTTTCTGCCATGCTTTAACTCGTTTTCTCATGGCAATAGTACCAAGACCTGATTCTGAGATGGCCACGAACCGCATACCAAGCAGGGCAGGACCCTCTGGTTATGCACAACCGGCACATCCCATCCACGTCGTTCTGGCGGCGGATGAGGATGCTATGACTGCAAGTCGTGACGCTGCTCGGGAAAAGATAACTGCACCTCCTCCAGCGTATGGTCTTTGGAGAGGCAGCGTGGTAAGTTTACAGATGGGTATGGTCCTTCTTGTTTGCACCGGCTGATCTTCTCATAGCGGCTGAACCCTGACTTGTTGTATTGGCAACGTGTGGATAAAAATTCCTCATTACCAAAGGTCGACGAACGCGGTCCCAGCAATAAGTCTCAACCACCCCGGCCGCCTAGTTATGTCTCCGATAATGGAATCGACTACGTTGTCGAAGCACAGCCACGATCCTTCACGCAATGGCATGCCCCGGAGGAATCAGCCCGCTGGCATTGATGTTCTTTACTCCCTCTTGTTCTGCTCTACGCCCGCTTGGTGCGGCTGTCTTGGATAGAAATCCGCCCCTGCAGGAATTCAGGCCTCCGTGGCCATATTCTTTCCGTTTATCCGACATATACCCCGACATATGCATCACTTCATATTTGTCAACTTTGTCTTGTCTTATCGATCTTTTGGTTGTCTGGGTTCAAGCGGGAGTTATAGTGGCATATCAGCAGCAGCATTGAATAAGCGCCATCATATATTGAATTTAGGTCCTTGACATTGAAGTTTTTCAAAGAATCAGGAGTAAGCCCAGAAATTCATCTTTGTAGTTCGCTATTGGTCTGTCTCCGATATTAGCAAAGACAGGGGTAAAGAACGGGTATAACCAATTGTAAAGGCATATCTGGCCGCTCGCTCGGATGCGTGGTTGCGCCAAATCCCGCGGAGGTTGATGCGATCTCACGTGCTTCTCCCGCGGCGAGGCTGCTGCCCACCACCGCAACATTCCTCCCCCTCCTTTCTTCCATTTCCTCAGAGAAAAAAAAGCATTTCTTCTCTCTATTAGAGACAAAGCTCTCTGGGCCAGAAGGACATTGTTTCGCATATCCTTTCGTGGCCCTAAGCCAGTTCCGTGCTCACATGCTAGTGATATCCGACTCGCCATTGCGGTAATGCGCTAGGGATGTTGGCGCTTTCAAATGTCCAAACTCCGTTCAGAATGGGTGATAACCTGGGTCTTGCTATTGTCGCCATGGCTTGCTATGGCCCAGGGGATGAGGATCGATCGAGTTAGGGAGCTCAGGTGAGGCCTTGCAAAGCGATGACCGTGTTTCAGTAATTCCACTAACCGCACTTCGCGGTGTCTATGACCAGGAAGGAGACCGAGCATATGTTCTATCACGGCTTTGATAATTACATTCAACATGCATTTCCCGAAGATGAGCTTCGCCCCTTGACTTGTCGCCCGTTGGTCCGCGACCGAGATAATCCCGCTCACGCTGAGCTCAATGATGTTCTTGGGAACTATTCCCTGACTCTAATCGACAGTCTATCATCCTTAGCCATCCTTGCATCGAGTCCAGAGGATGGCCAAAAGGCTCTGGGTTACTTTCAAAAGGGAGTGGAGGATTTTGTCACGCTTTATGGAGATGGTTCAGATAGCCCTGCAGGTCAGGGCGAACGGAGCCGAGGATTTGACATGGATAGCAAAGTTCAGGTGTTTGAGACGGTCATCCGAGGGCTAGGTATGCACCAATAGCATCCATACGAGAACCTATGAAGAGACGCCTCCCTGACTGACATTGATTACGGTAGGCGGACTTCTCAGCGCTCATCTGTTTGCTGTAGGTGACCTTCCCATCGTTGGGTACAATCCTCCAGATAGAGAAGCCGCCTTCGCAAAAGCCTGGGATAAGTCCTCTTTCCAAAGCGAAGGGCACGGTATCATGTGGACTTCCGGGTTTGTTTACGATGGTCAACTCTTGCGGCTCGCGGTCGATCTGGGGAACCGTCTACTGCCTGCGTTCTATACAGACACCGGTCTTCCTTACCCGCGGGTCAACCTGCGATATGGAGTCCAACGGCAACCCTTCTACGCGAACTCGCCGCTCAATGCGGATCACCCGTGCAATGGGTCAAACTCCGAACGCTGCCAGAAAAGCCGCTGGTCTTCATTCCCAGAAACTACGGAGACATGCAGCGCTGGCGCCGGCAGTCTTGTCTTGGAATTTACCGTTCTAAGCAGGCTCACAGGCGATGGTCGCTACGAAGAGCTTGCGAAGAGGGCTTTTTGGGCCGTTTGGACGCGTAGAAGTGAGATTGGCTTGATTGGGTCTGGTATTGATGCCGAATCGGGCCGATGGGTACACTCGTACACCGGGGTGAGCACTTTCCGCTGGCTAGACGACAAACCGTGCTTTGCTTACCATATTAACGATAGATTGGTGCGGGGATTGATAGCTTCTTTGAGTACGCATTCAAGTCGTACGTTTTGCTCTCCTCGGGAGAGCGACCCTCCCACAACACAAGCAGTCCATGGCATCATTTGGATGACTACTTCCTGCCCTTGGGTGAGCACGAACACTCTGCGCAGGCCTTTTTGGAAGTATGGCAGGAGTCTCATTCGTCCATCAAGAGGCACTTATATCGGGGGGATGGACATCAACACCCCCATCTTATCCAAGGCGACATCTTTACAGGAGCGACCCGTGCTTTTTGGATAGACAGTCTCAGCGCCTTCTACCCAGGGCTGTTGGCGCTGGCCGGGGAAGTAGATGAGGCAGTTGGAATCCATCTTCTAACCACTGCCATCTGGAACCGTTTCTCTGGCCTGCCTGAAAGATGGAATGTCGCTACGGGAAACATAGAGCAGGGTCTGGCATGGTACGGTGGCCGTCCGGAATTCGTGGAATCTACCTATTACCTGTACCGGGCAACCAAAGATCCATGGTATCTGCATGTAGGTGAGATGGTCCTGAGTGATCTCAAGCGCCGATGCTGGACCAAGTGCGGCTGGGCTGGTATCCAGGATGTCCGTAATGGCGAGCTGAATGATCGAATGGAGAGCTTTTTTCTAGGAGAAACCGCAAAGTACATGTTTCTCCTTTTCGATTTCGAGCACCCGTTGAACAAGCTGGACCAACCGTTTGTGTTTTCTACAGAGGGCCATCCACTCCTGATACCCAAGAGCAGCACGGCACTCCATACACGCCGACAGACACCGGGGCGTGTGAACAGCAAGGAACCCGTTTGCCAATTGGCTCCTCTTCCCCCTACGCTGGTGGGTTCGTCCACGGCAGCACGTCCTGATGTTTTCCATGCCGCGAACTTGGCTCGCCTACATCTCATGCCCAGCAGAGACGTTCCTGAAGGGCCTCTGGTTGAATATGCTGAGGACCATCCGAGTATATCGGTATCAGACCTCTCATCACCCACAAACTATACGTTCTACCCTTGGACGTTGCCACCGGAGTTGATACCCTTCAACGGAACCAGTGCACCCTTGATCTCTCGCCCAACCCTCGATATCTCTTTCCCTGCACTTCCCGGAATGGTTGTAGGCCCCGGATCACTGGAACGGGTCCGGGATGGAATTCTCGTGAAAGCCATTGGGGGTCTGCGGCTGAGCATGGTTCGAGATGTCTCGGTTCCTGGCATGGCGAAGAGCTCGGACAATGACGAATTTCGAGTGCAAGTAATTAACAATGTGCCGCTGGGTAAGGATGAGAAGGTATACCTTTCGCGGGAAATCACATTTGATGTGCTTGACCCCACTGACCCGAACTTCACGCGTGTACGCGACTCCATCATGATTGACATCGTCATTGATGTATTGCCAGAGCTTCTTCGTCGACGAAATGACTCAGATGATGGCCTTGAACCCGCTGCACCACAACAGGCTCGAGGCCCAGTCATCCACGACTCGGCTTTGGTGAATGGCAACAGTGGCGGTGTCGATCCATCGATCTCTGGCATGAAAACTGTACTGTCCTCCTTAATGAGTTCATTGTCCACCCTACTCCGGGACGAAGCGCATGTTGAGACGGGTCTGCCGCCGCAGAAATCGTCAATATTGCGTTTGATGATTCCCGCAGCCATCTCAACTGGCCTCGGGTCGGCCCCATTGCCGGATGTGGACGATGCTTCGACAGTATCGATGACGGGTGACCTGTCCAAACGGCGCCTCACCTGGTCCAGCATCTACTTCGCGGACGAGCTCTGTGATCACCGTCTATCGCGGGAGATTGTCCAGAATCACCAAGTTCTGGTGCTTCGGCGCGGCGGATGCAGCTTCTCCGAGAAATTGCGCAATATTCCTGCGTATCCGCCGTCACGTCAGGCCCTGAAACTTGTGATAGTGGTCTCTCAAACTAGCGAAGAGGAGGAATTGTGGGAGACGGCGGACTCGGGGCCGGCCTCGCCCGGGCTGGCCGCTGTACGCGCCGAGCGACATCTTGTTCGCCCGCATCTCGATGAGAGCCAGTTGACCGCAGGCGGCCTTCCGCGACGTCATCTTCTCAGTATGGTGATGGTGGGTGGCGGCGAGGAGACCTATGCATTGCTTCGACAGGCGACCGGAGTGGGCATCAAGCGACGCTATTCGGTGCGATCCCAGGGAGTCCCGATCCATAACCTACACATTGTGTAGAACGTATGGGTTACCGATTTGAGATATCATCATGGAAGAGTTAGAATTTCTGCTGTCATATGTACTGTACATACCTGCATGCATCATACATACGAGTACTTAGTATTAACAGACATACAGTACAAAGAAAAACGTACGGAGTATATATAATGTACATGCAATGCGATGTATATGCCCAGTATATACAGTACACCAGTACACCAGTATCAATGTTTATACTTAGACAACTACAAGGAGTTCATTTTTCTCAAGACGAAATGAATCGACAGTCGCCTCCGGCAATCGGGCCGAACCCGACACAAACTTGAAGGGTGGGGGGGTTGCCTGAGGATGGATATAGACTGCAGACTGTGTTATCTGACTTTGGGCTGTTATCTGACTGCCTTGCTTGGACTGCGGGCTATAGATACAGTAGTCAGCTAAATTTAGGCTGTTATCTAATTATCTTTCTTAAACTGCAGGCTGTAGATAGTTAGCTGATAGTCTTATACTTGCGCGCTTAATCTGGTGTTTAAAACTGCACAATGCTGATAGTCTCTGCCAAAGCCCCTCCCGGAGTTTAATCATCTACGGCGGTCCCTGTCCCTCCTCCGAGAGAGCCTAGGCTTCTTTTTCCATTTTCATTCCCATTTCCTTTTCCACTTCTCTCTCAACTTCAACATCATTCATTCATTCATTCATTCACACAAAGCCCATAGCAGTGCAGTGTACAGTGCATTCGAACTATATATATATTCAATTCAAAATACTGTACAGTATACACTACATGCAGTACATACCTTGCATCCCACCTCTCACCACCACCTTCTCGTCCATTGTACAGAACAGGTTTCAACAGAACTCAAAGACACCATCTTATATCCCT